CTTGAATTACAACTCGTTGTTTTTTGTAGTTCCTAGAGGAATTATAAACGTGTGTGTGGCTGCACAAACATACACGTAGTGTCCAGTTTTAGTACTTGAATTATGAACTTGCAGTGATGTTTCCATGGCGCAGTTCCCATTGTCAATTTCATTGATTGAATTTCCCTTGCCAGAAATTTCTGTTTTATCATAAATTTTGAGAAGTGGTTTCGGTTTTACGCGGTTTCTTCATATCTGAAATTAGGGGATTTTATTTCAGGGTAAGAAATCCCAAGCAGAAATGAAGAAGAAAGTTACTACGCATGCATATGGAGCTGCTCTTCCTTTGAATATTGATCTTGATAGACCACTTCTTTCTCGGTATGGATGTTAGATCAGTAGCATCATTATGAAACAATTCCTTTGAATTCCGATGCTTACTCTGCCATTAGATATGAGAATCTCCCTTAGGTTCTATAGCATAATGTGAAGATTGAAATATGATTTTCTAGTGCTAGCAATCTATATATATATGGTTTGATCAGTTTCTGTTTCTGAATTTTGGAATTTCGTCAGTTAGAAAATTTGTATATGAAACTTCATAATGATTATATCAGAACTCATAATCATAAAGACATAAACGTTAGATTTGTAGACCACATAGACATCCTATCTTCAGTTTGGTGAAATTAAACATTTTATTATATACAGTACCTATTTATCTGGAGTATTCAGGTTTCAGAGACCTCATGGCCCAACTCCCTCGTCAATGTTTGACCTTGAAGTCTACACAGGAGCTATAGATGATTTTGGTTTTGAGGATTACTTGAATGGTAATTGTTTTACAGCTCTTCTCTCATACTTTTTAGACTGTTTTACACCAAAACTAACAGTAGAATTGTCTGCTTCTACAATTGACATTGCTCAAAAAGTGACTACCATATACTGCTTACATTGTGTAACAAAGCATCCTTTATTTTGCAGAAAGTTGAACTCTTTGAGTATGTAAGAGAAAAAGTGTTCAGACTTGTTTATTTTCTTAGTTTCACCAAAAAATCTTTTAATAAACTCTTGTTTCATTAGTTCTCTTCCAGTCAACCTCTGACTTTTTTCATGTATGGGATTAGTAGCTGCAGTGTGAAACCAAAAATTATAAAACTAAACCGAATCAGAGAATATGGAGTGACCGGTCGGCTATTGAAACCGGAACTGATTAGGTGAATACCTCAACCGTCAAATACAAAAAATGATCCAACGGGACTGAAAAATTGCATCTTCTTCTGTTCTTCAAAGTTCAAAGTTTTTAAACATTACTAGACCAAGACCAAGATCCGCGCTAAGCCGCTGAGTATTTTTTTGAAATATACATTTCTAATATAAATATTATTGGTAGAAATTTTAAAGGTTTCTAGAATTTAGTTTTTTTTTTTCTTTTTCAGATTTTAGTAATTTTTATTTTACTATTCATCTATATTTACATATATTAATAAGTACGTGTTATATATTACTTCTACAAAATATATGTATAGAGACTGGGCTATCTCCTATTCCGTTATTTCGAGGTAACAAAGGCCTCGATGCTGCTTAACTTCCATGCTAAAAGTTCTCAATTTATAGGGTACAAGTTAATCAAATCCCAACATAAAAGAGATTGGAAACGTTTATTAGAAAATTCTAGTCTCCATATCACATTCTTTGCTCATATGATCATTCAGATCACTTGATAGATGATTTCACTGATTAGATATTAATGGAGTGTGACCTGACCTATATAACGTGGAGTGTTCTGAATTCGATCTATATTTTTTTCCCCTCCAAACGGAAAATGAACAAAACAATTAATCCCTCAAAAAAAAATGGAGAGCAAAAAAATTAGCCATATTTGTGGTGATGATGACTATTGGAAACCTTATAGTTAAATCAAAAGTTTCATGGTTGGAAGTTTGCAGAGTAAAAGTTTACTCTGATTTATGTTTTTCACTTTCCTCTACTTTAACAATACTATTACGCTAAAAAACTAACAATCACACCTGGAGATTGGTACTTATAAGTGAGAGAACGACAACAAATGACACAACAATGACTTTGGAGACATGTTTTGACCAAAATAAATAGTAAGGATAGGTTTTGCTTCGATTTGACAAAATAATACTACAGTATCTACTGTGCCAAGATTAAAGATTGTTTTTCTTTCTTATCCTTACGTAAATACATATGAAAGTCAGGGATTTTAGTAACCAAAAACCTAAAATCTATAGATGATATAATTATCAACCAAAAAAAAGAGAAATTATCGGCAAAGGAAATAGAAAAAATCCCTAGAAAAAAAGGAAAATGTCAAAAATCAAAAGTTTCATTTTTTTGTCCGTTAAAATTTTCTGATTTCTTTTCTTTTTTCTAACACACCTTTAAGCTTAACCGGATCTAACATTTTGTTAAACCAACCTAAACTTTATTCCGGTTCCCTAATCTGAATCTGATAAGCACAGCGGCTACTAGTAGTGACGATTGAAAATTGTCGAGTAAACCACTTTTAATTTAATTTGGGTTGGATAACAGTTTTGGTTAATTAAATAAACCGGACACGTAAGCTCTTCACGAACCACATCTGCTCCTACGCTTCTTCTCCTGTCTCCATCTTCCATATTTGCAGAGCTCGAGATTCTTTCACAGTCTCAGTGTTTCGTTTAGGGTTTTGTTGAATTTTACAGAGAAATTGGGAAGCCAAATCGAGATAATGCTTGCAAAGATATCATCTAGCGGGAAGAGATTTGTTCATCGGAGTCTTGTGGTGAGAGGTAATGCTGCAACTTTTCCTCCCTCTTTTTCCCTTTGCCAGAGAAGAGCTTTTGCTGGTAAGAGTAGTTATGATTACAGAGAGATACTCAGAAATGGGCTGAGTGATATTAGGTTAGACGATGCTGTTGATTTGTTCGGTGAAATGGTAAAGTCTCGTCCTTTACCTTCCATTGTTGATTTCAGTAAATTGTTGAGTGCCATTGCTAAGATGAAGAAGTTTGATGTTGTCATCTCTCTCGGCGAGCGGATGCAAAATCTGGGGATTTCATATGATCTCTACTCATACAATATTTTGATCAACTGTTTCTGTCGACGCTCTCAAATCTCTCTTGCTTTAGCTGTTCTTGGGAAGATGATGAAACTCGGCTATGAGCCCAGCATTGTTACGCTTTCTTCGCTGCTCAATGGGTACTGCCACGCCCACGGTAAGAGGATATCCGAGGCTGTAGCTTTGGTTGATCAAATGGTCGAAATGGGATATCAACCTAATACCGTGACATTTACAACTTTGATTCATGGGCTTTTTCTCCACAACAAAGCTTCCGAAGCTGTGGCTTTAGTTGAACGGATGGCTCTGAAAGGATGTCAACCAGATTTGGTTACTTATGGTGTGGTGGTAAACGGAATATGCAAGAGAGGTGATACTGATTTGGCTTTAAATCTGCTCAACAAGATGGAATTATGGAAAGTAGAGCCAGATGTTGTAATCTACAACACAGTCATTGATGGTCTTTGCAAATACAAACATATGAATGATGCACGCAACCTATTCAATGAAATGGAGAACAAAGGAATTAGACCAGATATTTTTACCTATAACTCCCTCATAAGCTGCCTTTGTAATTACGGAAGATGGAGTGATGCCTCTCGACTACTGACTGATATGATTGAGAGGAGAATCAATCCGGATGTAGTCACTTTCAGCGCATTGATTGATGCGTTTGTGAAGATGGGGAAGCTTTTAGAGGCTGAGAAATTGTACGAGGAGATGATCAAAAGGTCCGTAGATCCTAGTATTTTCACGTACAATTCATTGATCAATGGGTTTTGTATGCACGATCATCTAGACGAGGCCAAGCAGATGTTTGAGTTTATGGTTAGCAAGGGCTGTTTCCCAGATGTAGTGACTTATAATACGCTTATAAAGGGATTTTGTAAGGCTAAGAGAGTAGAGGATGGTATGGAACTCTTCCGCGAGATGTCTCAAAAAGGATTGGTTGGCGATACAGTCACTTACAACACTCTTATACAAGGGTTATTTCAAGCTGGAGATTGTGATATGGCTCAAGAAACTTTTAGTCAAATGGATTCTCTTGGTGTCTCTCCCGATCTTTGGACCTACAACATTTTGTTAGATGGACTTTGTAATAACGGGAGGCTAGAGAAAGCATTGGTGGTATTTGAGTATCTGCAGAAGAGTGAAATGGAACTTGACATATTCACATATAATATTATGATTGAAGGGATGTGCAAGGCTGGGAAGGTGGAAGATGGGTGGGATCTATTTTGTAGCCTCAGCCTTAAAGGAGTGAAGCCTAATGTTGTAACATACAATACAATGATCTCAGGCTTGTGTAGGAAAGGTTTAAACCAGGAAGCTTATGCGTTGCTAAAAAAAATGAAAGAAGATGGGCCTCTTCCAAATAGTGGTACTTATAATACGCTTATTAGAGCGCATCTTAGAGATGGGGACAAAGCAGCATCATCTGAACTCATCAGAGAAATGAGGAGTTGCGAGTTTACTGGAGATGCTTCAACCATTGGATTGGTCGCTAATATGTTGCATGATGGGAGATTAGACAAAAGCTTTTTGGAAATGCTTTCTTAAAGACATCCTTGAGGTTGATAAGCCGTTTATGTTGCTTTTCTGGTAATTACTTTCTAGTGCGGTCCTTGTATGTTCATGAATATGTTTGATTAGCTTTCAAATTGATAGTTTCTACTACACAAGAAAATATTATCTGAAAAGCAGAAAATTCACTTTGAAAATGATAATGTTTGTGAAAAAGAAGATGATAGGGTTCGCTAAATGAAACAGAATCGTATTGAAACACTCTATAGAATCGTGGCTTTGTCTTTGGTTGTTGCCAAATCATTGTACAGATGATTAATTTGTTGTGTTCTGCACTAAATTTCATAATTCATGTACTGGACGTGGACAGTACTTGTATGTTTGTGCAGCCAGACGCTAAGTTTAGGGAACAAAGCTCTTAGGTTTTTGCATAGTGGACATCAATTTTGAGAGATCAATAAGGATGTGTCGGTTTAGTGTGTATGGTGATAGGAAGTGCATTCTTCTCTACCGATTCTTGGCCGGTACGGTTCTTGATAACCTAACTGGTTTAGAATAAGATGAGGTTCAGTGGTTATATGATATGTGCGATGTTTTACAACTCTTTTCATCTTTCGTGAGAAGAAAAAGGAATTGTTAACTCCTAAAAATGTTCATAGTCAGTCTGTATTCTTGGTTAAATGTTTTTTTTCTCCGTATTCTTGGTTTTTGCATAGTGGATGTCAATTTGGAGAGATCAATAAGGATGTCTCGTAAATGTTTAAATGTTTTTTTTCTACGTTCAGTTTGTCGATAAAGCACACGTAAACCGAGCTTTTGATTTGATTCCTATGGCTGAATTTCGAAATGTCTTGAGTCTTTTTTTTGATAAAAAAATGTTATGTGCAGTTTTGGTGATTCAAGATTTTTTGTGTTCTTGTTTCAGGTTATTTGCTTCAAGATTCAATGGTTAACGCAATCAAAGGAGTCTTCATCTCATGGTACATTACCTTTCTTGTTAATATACTCTATCGAAATCGTATCTTTTATCTTATGTTGATGCTGAATCGTTTGGTGTTCTTTTATTGCAGCGATGTTCCCATGGCGCAGTTCATTGCACATTTGAATAATTCGTTGCCTGCTTCACAGAAGTTCATAATTCGAGTACTGAAACTGGACACTACTTGTATATTTGTGAAGCCATATGCTGAGGAGATGATCCGTAGTGCCGTCATCAATTTCAGGGATCAAAACTCTTACGCAAAGGCGAATTGAGCGGTTTTTTTTCTCGGTTTTCGGTTACTAGATGTCGATTTTTGATCTTAATATAGTGTGAGATCAACAAGGATTTGTGGGAAATCTCTGATGGAGATAAACATGTTTGTTATAAAAAAAAATATATTCTATTGTTCTGACAAAACCGAATTGGTTTATTTTGACAACGCAACAAAACTTTACAAATTATATAGTATGAAAACTCAAACCGGCCGGTTATCTCAAAATAACATTAAAATGACTAAACCGGTTTCAGCATTCACTCTGTCTCTGCCTTTTCTCTCTCACAGTCTCAGACTCTCAGTGGGAGACAGAGGCTGGAATGCCACTAAACCAGAAAAATGAATCAGGCATGCCATTTTAGAGTCTCTATGCCACCATATATATATAATATCCATTTTACCCTTAATGAATTATTCTTTATTTATTTTTTAAAAAACATAAAAGAAAACTCAAAAAAAAACTCTCACCATGTGGGCCCAAAAGAAACGCTCAGCGTTTGATTTTTATTTAATGTTGTACTTATTCAATCTGTGGGTCCCACTAAAAAGTTTTTTTTTGTTTTTTTCTGCAGAAGAATATACTCATAGTTGTCCAGTTGTACTATCGTAGTCATAGTTGAACTTTTCACAATTTTCATAATTTGCAGTTGAACGAGACTATAGATAATTAATTACAAGTTGGACACATGATTTTTCTAAATTATTTTGCATTTCTAAAGTTTTCATAATGGAACATTAGTGAAAACCAAGTTTTTACTTTTTTTACTTCATATAAGGTGATCATATACTAAGTATTCCTTATAGTAGAAAGGGTGTTTTATGTGAAACAACATTTATTTCTTAGAAATTATTAAATTTTATTGTATTGATCCAAAATAGTTTGTTTATATTTTGGATTTAATATATAATTTTACGTTTAAATAAATTATCAATTCTGAAAAATCAACAAATTTAAACATTTTAGCGTTACTTAGTTGAACTAATTATATCAAATGTTACCATGAAAACCAAAAACAGACATTTGAACTAGTTGAACTAATTAAATTAAAAGACACCAAGAAAGCAAACACATACATGTTTTTAATCTAATCCAATAAGTTGAACCAAGTTGAACTAGTTGAATAGTTCATACAAATCTGAGAAATACAAATTCAAAACACACAAATTAAATTCCCTAATTTGCAACCAATTTTCCAAGTTTATCACATGCGTAGCCTTGTTCTTCGTCCTCTTGCGGCGCTTTTCTCTCGTTGATGGAAACCGCGTTTCTTGATTTCTTCCACTTTTTGGTGTGTAATTTGGTGGTTTAGTGATCTTGTCCTTATGCGGCACCACATATATCAATATGTAATATGCCAATGCCAAAATCATGTGTCCAACTACTAATTAATAATTTATATCATATTCCAACTGTAAATACGGAAAAATCGCCAAAGTCCAACTATGAATGTGAGAGTACAACTGGACAACTATGAGTATATCTAGCCGCTAAATCTAAAAGTGCATTTTAGCCGGGCCCACAACAGTGCACTTTACCACACATGGAATGATTTAAAAACATTTTAAATTGTAAACATTTAATACTTTTATTTGTTTCAGTTTAACCCAGTTGAACCGAATAATTAGATCTCAATTGTACCTAATAAATACAGTTGTACCAAATAATTAGATCTCAGTTGTACCTAATAAATACAGTTGTACCAAAATACATAAACAAAAAAATCCACTTTACCATACATTAACAATTTAACATGATAATATTTAAATTGTATTTCGTTTTAAGATTAAAAACACACAAAAATGTATTTATTTTTTGACGAAAATATTTAAATCATATATATGAAAGTAGCTGAACTCTCTCCAGCTGTGTGACACGTCAGCGCATAAAATGATGCCACGTGGCATCGTAAAAGTTGACGATTGGAATTTTGCAATTTTGTAACTCTTCCATTTAGTCCTCGACTTTTCTTTAGGGTTTAATCATTCGTTTCTCGTAAATAAATGTCAAACTTTGAAACCGATGCTTGATAAAATACTTGGATGACTCCTTATCTTCTATCATATCCTCACTGTTTTTCTTCACCTCCTAAAATAATTTGTGCATCAAAATTCTCTGTTTAGCATTTCTCTCAATTCCATGGTAGAAGGCAAACAGACTTTCGTAGGAAATCGCTAGGAAATGCGAAGGAAAATTGTGGGAAAATAATTGGTTTTTTTTGTTTGCCTAAAAGCATATCCTTGACGATAGCAACAACACTTTCCCAGCCGCAAGCTAGAAACATTGATCCCCATATTCAAAAGATTTGTAAATCTTTAGCTTCAAGGGCTTCTCTAGCTTAATTTTAGAGTTGAATCGTTCTTAGTGGCGATAATTCACAAAATATAAGTTATTGGATATTGAAATCAGTCTCTCTGGATTCGCCGTCCGTTCGCCGTTTAAAGTCGTCGCGACAAAGAGAAAGGCGTCAATGTTCAAGTCTACCTTCGATGCAGGTAAAGTCAAATCCATTATCAAATTGAATTTAGGTTTTGGTTTCGCTTTTGGGTCTAATCCTACCTTTTGATTTGATTTCAAGTTTTATGTTCGAATTGATTTAGGTTTTGGTTTTCCTACTGTGTGAATCACTTTGTTATTGCTTTTATGAATTTCTGGGTATTTATTGTTTTGACAGACCATTTAGCGATGATGAATTGAGAAGCAATGCTCCTCAAGTTCATGAAAAAATACATAAAGCAACTAAGCCCTAAGTTGGACTCGGAAAAGCAAGAGCTATTCAAGAAACACATTGAGAGTGCCACCAAATCCTTGATGTCAAAGCTCAAAGACTTCCAATTGTAAGCTCTTCTCTTTTATCTTTTTTTTTCTTCAATGTGTTTTGAGTGAATTTTGTCTAATTGTTGATTATTTCAACGAATGTGACAATTTTGTGGGAGAGAGCATGGAAGGAGAAGAAGGGAGCTTAGTGTTGGCTTACTACAGAGAAGCTGCCACTGATCTTACTTTTCTCTACTTAGCCTATGACTTGAAAGAGATCAAGTGCTGAATATTTTTCCTCTCTTTATTTTCTACTTCAAAGCTACAGACTAATGTAATGATTAGTTTCATTCTATTGTCTATTTACCTCTCGTTCCATAAATTGCAGAACAAAAGTGGTGGGAATGTCAAGTTACAGTCCATTGTGATGCCTCGCTTAGAGTTTGAACATGTTGCAAAGTAGATCCTCTATATGGTAAGCTCAAAAGTTGATACCACTTTTTATCTATTAATTACATGAACTAAATTATATACTAATTGTTTTTTCATGTGTGGCAATTTTGCAATCATTAATCTTCTTATTTTCTTTTTGAATATTATTATTCTTTTCTGTGTTTACTTGGTTTGATATGGGCAATCAAGCTTTAATTTTTTTATTTTTTGCTAGGTTGTATGTGAATTTGACTGGGAGTTGTACAAACTGAAGGTGTGCATTTCGCTATTTCTGTAACCACAAAACTTAAATTCACTTTTTCATTTGGTTCAAGAGAGTTCAAATTTGTATTCATTGCATCTTAAATCAAGGTTTGGTTTTTGTGCATCTATTTCAGCATTTTGTTGATAAAGTGACTGAAGAGGGAGAATCATCTAAGGAACAAAAGAGTGAATCCAAAGTAAGTTTGAACTGTAACACAATTTTCAGTTCATGACGCTACACTATATCTCTAATTACCATTGTTATTTTGTTTATTACTTTGGTCAAAAATTTGTTATAGCGCGTGTTCCAGCAACAATGAAAGCTAAACGAGAGGTAAAAATGTAACCTCACTTTTGTGTAACGATGCAGGCTCCCAAGTGATGGTGTAAGCTCCCAAGTGATGGTGTAACATAACACCAAGTATATGAACACGTTTTATGTGTTCAGTTTTGTTCAATACATAACACCAAGTGATGCAGACTTCTTTTTCTCCTTGATTATTTTCCGACTTCTGATGAGATTTTTCTTTGTTCATGGGTTTCAGATTATAGTCATGTGCAGATGCAACAGGTTGCAGAGACGGTGAGAAGAAGATAGCACAAATGGGAGTCTTGTAATGGTCATTTCAACACCAGTGGTGGTAATTAATTACGGTGCTAACACTACAAGAAAATTGGTTTTCCGTAGCGTCCAAATAACGCTATTTAACGATATTATAGCGTTTTAACAAACGCTCTATCATCGCCCGTCATAGTAGGTCGAAGACCTAACATAGCGGATTTTCTTTGTGCTATCATACTCTTAAATATTATAGCGCTTTCTTATATGCAATCATATATTTTATAGAGATCCGAATTTAATTATGAATTTTGAATTATAAATTATAAATTTTTAATTTTTTTATTTTAATTTCAAAATTTAAAAGCTCTAATTTAAATTTACAAGTATAAAAAGTAATATTTATATAAACATTTACAATATGGATATTACAGGAGAAATAGTAATTAAAATACAACAGAACACTAAAAAAACTTATAAAAAAAAAAAATCTCTCATTCTCTCTCTCACGATCCCTTCTCTTCAAGCTTTCGCCAATATTCACAATCTTTACAATATGCCTTCTCTTCAATCTTTCGCCAATCTTCACTAATCAAACTTACCAAAATAGAAATCAAAATCAGCAAATTAACAAGAGTTTGTTGAAAATAACTCAAACATAGAAATCGCAATCGAATACAAAATCGTCTATTACCTGGAATCGACATCGTGGTTCTAACACTGATAAATAATGGACCATCTGGAGAAGCAAAGGGCCGTGTGACCATCTGTAGACGAACGCGAGAAGAGATGAATCTTTGGATTCGATCTCACCCGCACCTTCTACTTCGCGTCTTGCAGATCGAGGATCTCTTGAAGCTCTGTAACTGCTTTGAAGATCTGAATCTGGAGAAAATTGAACTACGAGAGAATTGGGATTAGGGTTGAAGATGAGGCCGCAGTTGAGGAAGCGGCGGCGACGGACAACGGTGGAGGAAGTAGATCTAGACTCTGCGATTACAAGATCCTTAGTGTTAGAGTGCATCGTTGAGCAACGAGATCTGGGGAAAAAAAAAAT